TGAATAATAATTTTCTTACTTAACTAATTAAGATAATTAATTAAAGAAATGGTTAAATGAAAAATCGAATTAAATATTATTATTTTTATTCAAATAAATAATCAAAATAGAATAATTAAATATGAAATGAATAATATACATAATTAACGAAATATTTAAAGAATAAATGAAATTGAATAATATTTTTTTACTTATCGAATTAAGATAATTAATTAAAGAAATAGTGAAATGAAAAATTGAATTAAATATTATTATTTTTATTCAAATAAATAATCTAAATAGAATAATTAAATATGAAATGAATAATATATATAATTAACGAAATATTTAAAGAATAAATTAAATTGAATAATTAACCAATTAAGATAATTAATTAAAGAAATAGTAAAATGAAAAATTGAATTAAATATTATTATTTTTATTCAAATAAATAATCGAAATAGAATAATTAAATATGAAATGAATAATATACATAATTAACGAAATATTTAAAAAATAAATTAAATTGAATAATATTTTTTTACTTATCGAATTAAGATAATTAATTAAATAAATAGTGAAATGAAAAATTGAATTAAATATTATTATTTTTATTCAAATAAATAATCGAAATAGAATAATTAAATATTAAATGAATAATATACATAATTAACGAAATATTTAAAGAATAAATTAAATTGAATAATAATTTTCTTACTTAACCAGTTAATATGATTAATTAAAGAAATAGTAAACTGAAAAATCGAGTTAAATATTATTATTTTTATTCAAATAAATAATCGAAATAGAATAATTAAATATGAAATGAATAATATACGTAATTAACGAAATATTTAAAGAATAAATTAAATTGAATAATAATTTTCTTACTTAACTAATTAAGATAATTAATTAAAGAAATAGTAAAATGAAAAATCGAATTAAATATTATTATTTTTATTCAAATAAATAATCGAAATAGAATAATTAAATATGAAATAAATAATATATATATTCAGATAATTAACGAAATATAATTTTTAAAAAAATATTAAATAATCAAATATGTGAGAATTTTTTTGTTTAACTGTTTTAATATGTGATTGGATGAATCTATTTATTACTTTATTAATATGAAATCTGATTGGTTAAATTTGAAGATACAATATTTTATTTATAATCTCTTGTATATGGTTTTAACATGTATTATTTTTGTAGGATGGAATATCATATGGACAATGATCTGAGAGATCATTTGGGAAAAGTTACGACGTATTGTAACTTTTCCAGCTATACGACGGTGATTGAGGGGTTGGATGAGGAACACATCGACATACTCCATCGATCGTCTTTATGGTCCTTCTATCCGTTGAAGGACGTGCAGTTCTCCGGACAGATTATTGATTCTTTATTACTCCGGCTGTTTAAATCAGTCGATGGCAATCAGCTTTATTTTGCTATGGGGGACGAGAAGATATCGAGATTCTCGATCCTTGAATTTGCCCTCATTACAGGCTTGAGATGTATTGGAGAAGAAGATGCGAGAGCCTGTATTATACCAAATAAAAGGTTATTGGATTTATATTTTGGAGGTAAATGGCTGGTTACACCACCACAGTTAAGAGGACGCATTTAGGAGATGCGATCACATGTTAGACAAGATGAAGCTAGGATTGGTGTATATACTGAAGAGTATATTGAGGTGTCGATATCGTAGGACGTCGATTAACCTTTTTTCATTGGATGTTGTTGATGACATCGATGCTTTCAACAGCTTTCCATGGGTTCGGAGATGTTATACCGATATTCTCCACGTATTCAGGAGGGTACATACTATGCCAAAATCGGAGAGGGGCGACCGCAAATATGATGTATATGGCTTTTGCATGGCTTTGCAGGTAAATATTCAGCTTAACATAATGCGTGTTAAACTTTTTTATTAAATGTATAATTTTTTATTTTTTTTTGTAATTGTTGCAGTTGTGGGCATATGAAGCTATCCCTGCTTTAGGTAGCAAATAGGCGATCAGAAGGGAGACCAGGTACCCACGAATGCTTCATTGGTGAGCACATGAGAAGCCATCGGCTAAAGATTTGACAGCTATCCTCGACGATTCTCAGGTGAGTACTATATATTTGCAATTTATATTGTACGTACATTAACTCCGCTCAATACATGCTCGTTAACATGTTGAAATATGATATGTCAGCTCGAAATTCATGCTGAGTTGGTTGTTTCGATGGAAGAGGAGGATCAAATATATATACGTGAATTACATGTTTGACCTACTGAAAACGATCCAGTGTTTGAGTCCGTTCCGGATAGAAATAGGGTACATTTATTTAAGATCATTATTTATTCTGATTTATAATATTCATGTGTGGATTATTAATATTAATTGTCTTCTCTGTGTAGGAGCGTCATCCAGTAGAACGACGAGCACTTCCACGTAGGAAATTTTCGTCGCCTCCACCGATGAGATCACCTCTACCGCCATTATCACATTCTCCGAGGAGATCTCCGTCTCCCGCACCCCCACCTTCCACGTGGATCGCCTACACCCAGTCAGACCCGTCATTCAGATGATTTCTTTGCACGCATGACTGGTATAAGAGAGGAGCTGGGAATGATGCGACGTGATTTTACGACAGAGGTAGTAGCACTACGAGAGGAGATAGGGGTGCTGCGACGGGATTTTACAACAGAGGTAGTAGCACTACGAGATATAGGAGACCTTCATACTGAGGTTGCAGCACTTCGAGGCGATGTAGCAGGCTTCTGAGGTTCTGTCAGAGGGAGTGTCGGGGAGACTGGTGTTCATCGAGATTGGTGGGCAACGACCACAGAATTCAATGAGTTTTTTTATTCGGTATCGGAGGCCGGGAGGGAGGGTGGAGGTCGGGTTGGAGGTGCCAGAGGAGGCCGGGGTGGAGGTGCCGGAGGAGGTCGAGATAGAGGGAGTGGAGGGAGGGCTAGGGGTGCCGGAGGGAGAGACAAGAGTGCCGGAGGGGGTGATCGAAGAGGTCGCGGAGGAGTCACCAGAGGTGGTAGTAGAGGTAGATGAGGGGGTTGCGGAGGACGAGAGGATGCCAGAGATGACGGATGACGATGTAGTATTCGTGTCAGAGGGGGCGACGAAGGTACCGAAGGGTAAGAAACGTGCTAATGACGCGTTAGAGCTGATGGTCGGTAAGAGATCAAGATTACCGTCACAGTACATCGTTTCCTCATACACGGCCGGGGCGAAGAGAAGGGGGTTTGTGGATGGGACGTTCCCCAATCTTTTTCGCGACGTCGACCCGATCAGACAGAAGGCGTTCGATGATTGGTTCAAATCTCTTAAGTCCGAGTAAGTATTTTATGATTTTGCTACTCTTTTTTTTGTATTTTTCATAACTTTTTTTCATTTTTCAGAGATAGTTATACCATCGGCTGTATGACCGTGCCTAACGCTAAAAAGTAGTTCGAAGATGTACTGAAGACCTCAGCTTGGCTCACCGATAATTTAAGTTTTTTGAGTTTCCATTTATTATATTTATAGAATTTGTTGGTTCATTTACTTAAACAACTCTATCTTTTTTGTTAGTGTTTTTTTGTTTCAACATATCGACTTGGCTATGGAATTGTTACGCGATCGGGCTCAGAGATATCCGAGATCTTATAATAGTCCTAGTCGAGTTATCCCGAGCTCTGAGTTTGTTCGTATCATAGATATTGAGCATCACGAGCTCCTAAGCAATGGGAATGAATATGTTCTATCTGAGTACATGCTAGAGTGGGTGATTGGGCTACAATCGAGGTGCGAAAAGCCGTGGACGGGGACGGATTGTACACATGTACATTCCAGTGATTGCGAACTCACACTGTTTTTCAGTGGAGATCGTATTTGTTAATTCCACTATGTATGTGTACAACTCTGATCATAGTTGTCTGACACGAAGTTAACTGAAGCCAATGGTTGTGATCATGCCCATGATGGCTAGTCATGCGATGATTCAAGTAAATGATAGATTAGACATTGTGCGGAACATGACAACGGCAAAACAAGAAAGATCGTAAGGATTTAAATCTTTTTAATTTTAAGATTTAATTTTCAGTTATATGTTATCGAATTAATATATTCTTCTTCGGTTGCAGGGGCGACTGTGGCTTATTTGCAATAATGTACATAAAGTTTTTGAGCATTAGTCGCAATGTTGATACAATAAATCAGTCTTGGATTGATATGTAGAGGCATAAATTAGCTTGTGACTTGTATGAATATAACTGTGATCCTTAGTGCATTGTATATTATTTTATTGAAATGTAAATATTGTTTACTTCAGTATGATTCGTGTTGTAATGTAATAATTTTTTTAAATATTTAATTAACAAAATATTATTATTTTAATTTACATTGTTGTTGTGTCTGTAATCTCTCCATATTATCAGTTAATATATATCGTTGTCTCACTTGTATTAAAAGAAAAAAAACAAAATATTATTATTTTAATTTACATAAGTAATCGAAATATAGTAATCAAATATTAAATAAACAATATACACATTAAGATAATTAACGAAATATAATTTTTAAAGGAATATAAATAATCAAATATACGTGTCAAATGAAGATAATTAATGAAAGAAATACTTAAACGAAAACTACAAATAAGTGCTATTATTTTTATTCAAATAAATAATCGAAATAAATTAAATATGAAATAATTAATTTTTTACTTAACCAATTAATATAATTAATTAAAGAAAAACTTAACCAATTATACATAACCAATTAAATATTTAACTGCTGCAATATATCAATTATTAAATCGCAATATTTAAATCAATCCTATTTTTTTATTTAAATATGCTGTTAAAAGGAGTAATTAAACAATGTGATTAAAATTACATTCGATTTAAATTGAGAAAATCAAAAATATCTCACAAATAGAGAATACATATGATTTATATAGAGACTGCACATCCGTCGAGTCATTGTTTAGTGGGATCTGACTTGTACAAAATCAACGTGTATGTTCTATAGCGCCACACCTCCCGCACTTACGCGATTGTGGAAACTCTCCTGTAAATGGTATTCTAGACGTTCGTCTACAACCAGGGTACGCGGTGGAACTTCAGGTGGCAACAAATTATTAAGTGCTACAATATAATCAGGAACTTCCCACTTGACTTCATTTGGTAGAGGAAATATAGTTTCGGCATACGCTGCTCTCCAAAAATCAGCCATGTAATAATGACTGTATAAGTTGTATGGTGGAAATCCTCTATACATAGCCACTGCGACAGCATACGCACATGGAAAACTCTCAAACTGAAATTGTCTACACGTGCAAGTATTGTCATTCAAGTCCACAATGTATCCAACATTACGCGCGCATCTCACGGAGAAGCGAAATTGATCTAGTGGTTCCACAAATAGAGCTTTTGTCACTTCCAGAGTTTTGAATAGTCGATTTTCCTGCGCCGGAGCTAGCACACTCGTGCAATTCTGGGATTCTTCACGTCGGTCATAAAATCACTGTTGCAACTTGCTACAAATATATTCAATCATTGCGATAATTGGTAACTCTCGATCCTTCTTGAATAATGCATTGAGCGACTCCGCATCATTCGACGTCATCATGTTGTATCGACGTCCTGAAAAATGTGACCGTGCCCAATGTTCGACCCCCATATTTGATAGATATTCCTATGCACTTTCTGATTTATGTTCTATTTCGCCCATGAACTTCATAAACTCTTCAAAGCTGTAAGCTTCTGCAGCTCTCCTAAACAATGCAACAATGTCACTGCCCAGTACCTAGTCTTCAGGTTGCCCTGAATGTGGTACATGCAATAACCATGATATTCTTCCGGAAAAACTTCGGCTATACCATTTATTATTGACTGTCCCTGGTCAGTCACAAATGCAAGGTTCTCAATGTCCCCAATTACTTCTCTCAGCTTCGTGAAAAACCAACACATTGATAGATCAGTCTCTCCATTTACAATACCAAATGCAAGAGGGTAAATTTGGATGTTGACATCTTCACATGTAGTAATAATCAACTTCCCTTCATATCTAGCCTTTAGGACTGTACCATCAACTAAAATTAGAGGTCGCATCGCATTTCGAAAACCTCTAATGCATTGTCCAAAAGCCATAAAAAAATACTTGAAGCGATTCTACCCATCAGTTTCAATAAAAAAACGCCGAGTCAGAATTAGTTCTCACCATGTTTTGGCAATACCTGGCCAATTTGGCATAACTCTCCTCTGTCGAACCCATTAAATCTTTCAATGCACATTCTTTTGCCTTCCAAGCCTTCTGATAACTCATAACCACCCCGACGGATGTCGTTGATTATATCTGTAGGTCTGTAAATCGTCCGTGGGTTCTGAAACTTGTGCATTATCTGTCGATCAATAAACCATGATCGAGTTTTCCTGTGATCATTTTGATGAATACCCACTTCACAAGTATATTCCCGCGCATACTTGCGAATTACAAAGAACTCATTTGTGTCCATCTTTGTCGCTCTCAAACGACAACTGCAATTGTTGTCCACACAAATAATTGTGTATGTAGACTTGTTTAATTTTTTTTACCTTAAACTCAAAATTATGTTTCATTGCAATTCGGTGCATAGCTTCTTGCAAATCTCTTTTCGTGTCAAACAATTGATCGACATGTAAATTTTCATCATCAAAAACTACACGCGAACAATTAGAAGACCGTGTACTAAGCCCAGCATGTGAACTCCCACCAGACTCATGTCTCTGTCTGGATAAAGCAATCAAATCTTGATTTGTAAATGACCTTTCATCCTCGTTGTCTTAAACTTCTTCGTAAATCCTTTGTGTAACGGTGATATCATGATGAGTAGCAACTATCTTGGGAATAACCACATCATCCTCAAGAGCAATCTTAATAGTATCCCAAAAATCATTCTCGTTACGATCCTCTCCATCGAAAATTTTGTGTTCACCCTTGGGGACATTTTTCTTCAACAAAGTTACGCAAATAGGAGTTGTCTTTCGACTTTAGTTCAATTGAATTACATGTTTTATTTGCACTTCAGAAGTAACTTTCAAAGGTGGAATCGAAATTATTGAATGCTTTTGAAATAAAAATCACAATTCCATATCGTACTGAGATGAATCGACGTTAAGCATGTTTTGTATTTCATTGTACATTTTCGTAAATGATGTATTTTTTGTTATCGAAATAGCAGCAACCCCTTCTCATTCACTCGTTCATTTCTATTCCCATTAACCATTTTCTTTCCTTTAAAATTCGTCGAAGTAACAGATTGGGACACATGTTTTTGTCATATCTGCATTACGAATTAAACAATTATCAGCGACATCATAGTAATCATAAAAAACGTACTCAAGCTCGTTGTTCTGGAAGTGTTCCATAGTTTTTTACCCTATAGAACACAATTAGTGATAAAAAAAGAATCAGTACAATTAAAACGAAACTCAACATTTTTGTATGCAATAAGAAGAATTTGAATGAAAATCACAATCTTTTCAGGTGATTTAAAATCCAATGCTGGTAAAACGGCAAAATATTGTTCAGATTTCCCGGGGGAGGAACCATGATCAAATAATATTTATTCAATTTTTCATTTAAGTATTTTTTCAATTAATTATATTAATTGTTTCCATAATTAAATATTTTAATTGTCTTAAAATGTATATTATTTATTTCATATTTAATTACTCTATTTCGATTATTTATTTGAAACGTATATTTAATTACTAAACATATGCCTTCACTTCGATTCTAATATTATTTTCTCTACCATTTAAAAAAATATACGATTTCAATAAAAAAAAATTAAATATTAGGAAAAGATACTTACCGAATTAAAGTGCTGAAATTTAACGAAATATTTTTGTTGAGGTTGATAACTGATAAGTTTATGAATTTTTGAAGTTGAAGTGGATGAAAAATGAAAGAGTTTTTATCGTGTTAGAGTAAACTGATAAAAAGAGTGATTTCGTTTTCAAATCTCAATTGAAAGGTGTTTGAATTTTAATTTGTAATTTAAGGATATTTTGATCTTTTTAACATATTTCTATTTTTGTAATTATATAACTCATTTAACGGTATTTTTGTCTTTTACACGAAAATAGGTCATGTGGTGAATGTCAAATTTTTTTTTTTTAAAGTGGAAAATTGGCCATTTGACATGACTAAATTTAAAAGTACCCGCGGGAAATTACCCCGGTTACCCACCCCATCGCAAACCCAACTCGTTACCATACCTACTGTTGCCATCACAACCGCCATTGCCACCACATCAAATCCAAAATTATCATCTCTATCAAACCATGATCACCATCAATACCAACACAACATCACACCGCCACCGCCTCTGACTCATCTACAACCACTGAAGACAGCCAGATCTAAAGCCGGACAAGTCGTTTCATTATTTTTCCTCAACAAAACCCAAAATCGAAATTGAAAGATCAGTTTCTACATAAAAATTATCGAAAGGAGGAAATGGATAGCCGAAAACCTAATTCATCATGCATGACTCAAGTCAAAGGATCCGTCAGCCAGTCGATCTTCGTTATTTCTGTGGGCTCATCCATTACAGCCTCTACTACCGTCATGAGATCGTCGGCGCTGCTAACTCAAATGGTAGAAAGAGGAAAAGGGGGTAGAAACAGCGTGTAGAGAGGAGAGAGTGGAGGAGAGGGAGAAATTACAGTATATTCTAATTTTTAATAAATAACTTACTTATAACCTGATTTGTGAAATAATAAATTTAAATATTGATTCTTGAAATTGAAATGTAAAATTCATCTCCCCGTTATTTCTACTTTCAATAACCTTTTCAAACGGCTCTAAATATCAATCAATACTCACATTTTGTTTCCACTCAATCAACAAAACCAACCAATCTAAAGTGTAGAAATCAAAAATGAAATCAAAAATAAATTTCTTACAACTATGCAATGATTTTGTTTCCAAGTTTTATCAATCAACCTGATTTGTAGAAATCAAAAAT